GCCAGTGAAGGGGTTTGACATATGCCTGATGGAGATAGGGAAGCCTTAAATTCCAGCTGCCTTTCAGGCATGGGCAAGCAAGGCAAGGCCCTCCAAAACACATTCCTACACTGGGAAGCAGCAGCCCTGAGCTCTATCCTGGCATCAGGTAACTAAGCCCTGGCCTTGCAAAGCTTGAGCTGCTCTATTCTTTCAAAACAATGTTATCAGTGGGCAGCATCCCTCCTGCTTATCTGGCTGCTCAGCTGCTTGCCTTACCTCAGAATGTGGAAGAACTGGGCTGCAGGGTCAGGCTCTGTGCCTGGGGGTGTACTCCAATACCCAGCCCCAGGCCTCCATCCCACCATGGGGAGCAGCCATCAGGGCTGCCCAAGCCGTTGTCCCACCTTGTAAGGCAGAGCAACTACACCTCCCAGAGCAAGGGCTCTTCTCAAGGTGGTTCCTATATTCTCCTCATGATTCCCACACCAGCCCGGCACCCCAAAATGGTGGCCTGCAAGTGTAATGCACACCCAGGCAATAGGTATCATGGCTGGTGAAGAAGCTCCAGCCAAAGGGGACTCTTCCTACCAGTACTCCCCTAGATTTGGAATTGCATCATTTCACAATGCTCATCTCCTCACGTGCTCCTGGATTAAACCCATCTGATATCAGTTCTGTTTCTCCAGCATGGAAACTCAATGAGCAGGCCCAGTCCAAGAGAACAATTAAAATACCTGCTGCTCTTCACCCAAATACCCCGAAGGTGAAAATGCCTGGAAACAAACTAGCAGGATTTGTCACCTCCTCACAAATCATCTCTGCCCCCACCTCAACTGGAATCTTGAGGTAAGGACACAAACTCAAGGTCTCTGCCAAGAACAAGACATACCTCATGTGGGTTCAGCTGAGAGACCATAGAACCATTCAGGTTGGAAAAGACCACTAAGATCACCTAGTCCAACCACCAACCATTCCCACCATGCCCACTTAACCATGTCCCTCAGTGCCACCTCTACCCTCTTCTTGAGCACCTCAAGGGACAGCGACTCCACTACCTCCATGGACAGACCGTTCCAATGCATTACCACTCACTTAGAGAAGAGATTTTTCCTGATATCCAGCCTGAACGTACCACCCAAGAGCAGCCCAGACTGAATTCTCATAAGCCATCCTTTTTTCAGGGAAGTCCAATATGGTCATGCAGGATTAATCTATTCATCATGTACCTGGGGACAATGGAAACAGAACTGCTCTGCTCACCACCAGCCTGGACTAGATGAACAGAGCTACACCATTCCCCATTCGAAGCACACAGGGCCCTCTCTGACATGCCCATTGAGCTGGCTGACTCCCTGAACCCAATTGGCAAGGAGAAGCCCAAAATGGGGATTCACTGAAGACAGCAGAACTGCTCCCTTTAGCCCTGCTCACACCACCACAGAGTAATCAATGCCAAAAATCACAGCTGCCAGACTGGCATGTTTAATGCAACCTGACATCTCCTGCAGCAATCCCTTCAGTTTCACCTTCTGCCTTATGCAAGTCAGACGTCCTCAGCCCTCCACCAGGTCTGGCAGCCATAGCTCTCCAGGTCCCTTGTCCGTGCTCCCTGCTTGAGCTCTGCACGAACACCACCAAAGGTCAGCTTCTGCAACAAGGAGATCTTTGCACTACCACCACACACACATTCACACATCCCTCTGCAGAGACACCCAGCAGAAGGGCAAGACAGACAGCTACAGGAGATAAGGGCTGAAACCACCCCAGAAAAACATGCTGGCTCGTCTACCCAAGCTCTGCTCATTCAGGAGAGCAGTGGGTTTGCACTGAAAGCAAGGAGTTCTGGTTTCCATCAGCCCTCCAACAGAGACCTCAACCTCCCAAGAATCTTTCCAAAACACAAACTGCTGCAAACATACACAGAACCACCGTGACAGAAGCTTGAAGAGATGCTGTAAAACTGATTAGTCGTCAAAATCATCAGACCATAAAAGAAGCTCCAGCTGTGCTTCCCTTATTTGCGTAGAGAAATGCAGGAGGCAGGGCTCTGTTTAAAATTAATTTCTTTTTTGTTGTTGTTGTTTACTAGCACCCAAGTTACTCTGGTTGACAATTAAGCCCATTATCCAATTCCTTCCTTTTTTAGCACCCCATTCCCTTTTTTAAGAGTTTATGCAGAAAAAGATAAATTCCAGTAAGTGCTACTTTAAAATGAGAAATGCAAGCTAACAAAGAGCTGGGGAAGATTGGGCCATTCACTCTTCTGTTTTAAGATCCCAATCCAGTACAGAACTCAACGCCAACAATTCCTTTGAAGTCAACACCAATTTCAAGTCAATCTACTGCCTTTGGGCTTAGAGTTAAACTCTGCCCAAACGTTCTGCCAGATCCTTGGTGCAAGTGTAGGAGGACAAGAGCAAACAAATATTTAAATTTTGGCTTGTGTACTTCAGCAAAATTGCTGTCAGCACATGCTTTTAAGTTCATACAAAACCCAGTTGGAGAAATTCAAGACAATAACTAACTTGGAGACTGGTGGGTCAGAAAACTGCAGAAGAAAATAATACTTTGATGCAAGTAACACTAATCGTGAAGCATGGTGTTCCCAATATCCCACTACACACTGTCCTTTCAGCCTTTGCTCTTAAGCTGACCCACAGATTGGGTCACACAGATGCTTTGGCAGAACCACCAGGAGCAACCCATTTCCTCCCCCTGAGCAGAGGGCAGTTTGCTGTGGATGCTCTGCACAACATAACTGACCTGGGTACCACACGCAGCTCTTTGTGGCACAGATGCTGAGAGCAATACCTCAGTAAAACCAAAACCAACACTGCGATCCAAGACCTTGACACCACACCCCAGCTCTACCTCTGTCTGCCTGAAGTCGCACCAGGCTGTTCACTCTGCCTCATCTAGCCCAGCTCTGAGTACCTGCAGCCACACTGGGCCCTTGTTCCAGCATTAAGAGTTGGACTCAACTATTCTTAAGGGTCTGTTCCAACTCAGGATACTCTGTGATTCCTCTGTAATACATGACTGAGGAAGCTTTCAGTAATATCTAAGTTAGAACAACAGGCACTACTTGCAAGGAGGAGCCCTTCTTGTTCCTGTTGTAATAATTCATGTCTGAGTGCTAACTTGTCAGCTATCACAGTAAGAGAAAAACCTGGGGCTGGAAGTTGTTCTATTGTCATTCCCATCCTCTGCAAAGGGATGGGGAGCTGATGTGGCACAACACTGCCTGTTCTTAGTGTCTTTCAATAGATAGTGAAATCAGTGCCAGAAAGGCAAGAAACTCAAAGCTTTTGGAGACATCTGTATTTACACTTCTGTCTTTTAGGGCAGAAATCTGACTGCTGCATTTTGGGGATAAACAATCAGAACGCCAGTTGGTGCCTCATGCAGGTTGCACCACATAGCTTCAGAGAACATGGACAGGCACTGACATCATGGATGGAGCAGTCCTGGCTGCTTCCTCTTGGCCTTTACCGAATTATGACTCCAACTTGCTTCATGCTACTATCATCGGCACCCTTCACAAGCACCAGCAGTCCCATAAATCTGCTTTTTACAGCATGGCAGAAGCCTAATTACACATGATTAAACTCTGTCAAAAATTAAAGCCCACACATTCCTCTGAAATTGAAATCAGCCCTGTTAGGTATCAAGAAGCAGCAATGCTGATGGCTGGAAGGCATGTTGTCAACACAATGCTGCAAGTGGGGGCACTTCCAACTCTTCATTTGAGTCTCTCCTACAAACACTGGTGTAAGCACACCCCGAACTGCGGCCATGCACATCTCAGGCTGCAGGGACAGATGCAGCTCAGACACCTAGAAAGCTTACACTTGCTGCTCCTGCCTCAGCTCTCCTCCCCCAGCACCGTGCACTGTTAGACCTCACTGCACAGATTCGGAAAGGTTAAGCCACAATCCGTTTATTTTTGTGACAACAGCTTAAATGAATATTGAGCTCTTTAAGGACACGTACAAGTTACACATTGTTTTGCTGTCATGAAAACAGGCACTGGAAATTAAATATAACCCATGTAGATGGACGCTACAATAGGATACAACATCCAAAGGAAATGCTGTTAAGGCATTTTGAGTCTTTTATTGCAAGGTAAGCATCATTTTAGATGGATGCAACACAAGGGGTGAGGAGAACAAAAGTTCATGGCTTTTATTACCAGTGAGGAGATGATCCCTAGGAAGAGGCCTGTCACACAGGGGACAGCAGTGATGCAGCGAAAAACATCACATGGAGAAACCAATGAGTGGTACCCTGAGAGAGCAAATGATCAATGGCACACCTCACCCTGCCCGCTCCCCAAGAGCACAGTACAACCACAGTGCAAACTTCCAACCCCAATAACAGCCCCTGGCACCCTAGAGAGGAGCCACAGCTCTGGCTCTTAGCATGGATGTACACCTACAGAAAGGGAATGGCACGTTCTCCCCAACAAATTGCAAAGGGACTTCTTTTTATTATTATTAATCATGTAGGGGCTACTTGCAGTTTAACAGTTAAACATTAGATGTTATGATTTCAATTACATGCACTTGTGTAACAAGCAGATGAAAGTATATGTCAAACACCTGCAACATCCCTTTACGTACCTGATCTATGCCTCTTCCAAAACACTTGCATAAAGGAAGGTTCTTCTAGAATAATACGACAAAACACATGCATTCTCCATTCCCCACACTCCCTGATACACACAGGGGGCAAAGAAACCCCCAGCTCAGGGAACACGGGGTGCACCCAGCTCCTTCATCGAGCATGGAGAGCACAGCTCCCAGTGCCTGCCTGCAGATGTGGATGACTAAACATCTTAGGGACACACACACCAAAAAAAAAAAAAGGATGGATTTGTGCTTGGCATGTCCTAAAAGCTGCATTCTGGCAACTTTAGAGCTGTGCTCAGTGCTGCTGCAAAGAGGACAGGGTGCCAGCAGCATGGGGCAGCCACAGTCCCCATTGGGGGGAAGGCAGCCCCAGGCTCTCACACTCACCTGGTGGTTTCATGTAATATTGCTCGATATCAGACATGTCCGTATGCAGCGCACAATCGAGATAGTGGAGGATAACTTTTCTGCTGAAGTAGTACCTCATGCCCATCAGAAAGATAGGCAAGCAGCAGGTCAGCAGGAAGGACTTGGTCACAACAAAGCACATTACTATGGAGATAAGGAAGAGAAATAAACGACACCTGTCAGAAAAGAGAATTTAGTGTTGATTTCGGAATACAAACTCATTTAAAAAAATAATATTAAAAAATAACACAGAGCAAAACAGACACTTGCAGCTCACACATGAGAATGGTGCAATCCTCCCTAAGTGGTGCTAAGTGACAGTGCAGCTCAGTGTTCCCGCAGTGCCGGGGGAGGGGAGGAGGGGCTGCTGGGGGCACCCCCTGCACCCCGTTGTCAGTTGGGGGTGGGCTGTGCTGCAGGCACGGCACTCCGCAGCCATGTGTTTGGCACTGCGGCAATACTATTTCCATCCTGGGAAGCACTGGCTGCTGGGGAGGGGCACAGCCTTAGGGCTGAGGGTCCACGCAAGGCCTAGGGGGCTCCTGGAGGAGGGAACCCTTTAGTACCAGTTTCCCAGCACCCCACTACTGCCAGGGGTCCCTCTCCAATACAGAGCTTGAGGGGTCACCTGCAACCACCAATAGCTTGAGAACCCAGCCTTGGGGTGGAGGGTGCGTTTTCACAGAGGGGGACATGCATTATTACATTATTATTCACGCAGAAGAGGAGTTCACATCATTACTTTCAGGAAGGGCAGCTTGGGCACAGATTATTATTTTAAAGCGGGGTTTCAAAAGGGGCCGCGGGGTTATTTGCGGGAGGTGGGAGCACCTTGCAGGGGTCATTTTGAGATTGCAACCCCCGGGAGGTGACACCCCCCGCCCCCCCCCAACACACACACACACACACACACACACTCGGAGATGGAGGGGCCCGGCCGTCTCCAAGCAACCGCTGCACGCGGTGCGCAGGGCTGCGCGCTGCGGAGCTGCGCGCTGCGATGCGCGCACCGCTCCCATCCCACCCCCCACCCCCCTCAACCGCCAGCACGGAAAAACCGCAAGGACGCGCAACCTCCGCGGGGAGCCCCTCACCGCCCATCAAACCCGCGCAGCGCAAACCACCCCCTTCTCCCTCCGCCGCGATGCGCTGCGCTCTCTGCATCGCTGCGGCTCCGCGTGGCTGCGGCTCTCCCGACTCCGCGCGTCCCCGTGGGGACCCCGAGCGGAGCTGCTACTCACCCGCCATCAGCGCGTAGAGCAGCTGGGTGAGGGGCTGCTGTTTTAACCCTCTGAAGGCCGTGTTGGGGATCCGCTCCATGATACCTTCGTAGAAAATGCGGCGCACCACCTCCTGTTCGGAGGGGTGGAATTCGCGGATGTAGACGTTGTCGCGTTTGGGTTCTTCTTTGGGGGTACCAAGGGGAGCAGGAGGGGAGGAGGGGGAACCTGAGAGGGTGGGCCACATTTGGGAGGAAGAAACAATGATGGTGTCTTTTTTGGCTCCCGGGATTGAGTCATGGTCTTCCGCCACGATCTTGGTCTCACAAACCATCTTGGGAGACAGACAATGCATGCAAACGGGGCACGGGGAGGGAAGGAGAAGAAAAACGGGGAGAGGGGAAAGGGGAGGGGGAAAGGGAAAAAAAAAGAAAAAAAGAAAAAAAAAGGGGGGGAAGGGGGAGGTGCGGAGCGCGGAGCAGGGCCGGAGACCCGCGGGCAGCTGCGCGGGGCGCGGAGCAGCGTAACCGGGCGGGATGGGAGAAAGGAGCTGCGCTGCATTTTGGAGAGGCATTTATAGGGCGGGGGGGCCGCGGGTCCTCGGGGTCCGAGAACCCCCCGCATTGGCTGCGCGGGGTCGCCATGTGATCGGGGGGGGCGGGCCGCCTGCCCACCTCCCACCCCCATCACCCGCGCCGCCCCTTTGCAAATTACTACGGCGCGTCCCTGCGCGGGGGGCGGTTTCCTCCCGCGGGCCGCGCATCTCTCCTCTGCGTCCGCGCACGGGGACGCCGCTTTCTTTCATTCTTTCTTTCTTTCCGTGTTCCCATTCTGAAACAGTCGCTGCGAATGCGCGGAGCCCTACGGGCAGACACGACCGCGGGTGGGTGCGAGGGATGCGCGTCCCGGCGGGCTGCGGCGCAGCGTGGGCGCTCCGCGGTGACTCATGCGGCGCGGCTCCCCCCCGCCCCATCCACGCATTGAGTGCTCCCCGAGCCCACGCGGCCCCACATCCGTCCCCCACGCCGGCTCCGTGCCCCGTACCCCGATCTATAACTTTTCATGGGGGAAATAGAAGGCGGGGGGATGCGCAGCGAGGAGGAAGAAGGAGAGGAGGAGGAAGATGGGCTCCTCCTCTTCGCAGGACCCGAAAAGCTTCGCTCTCTCCCGGTTGGAACCGGCCGGCATCTGCCCCAGGCATGCGCCGTGCGGGGACGGTGCGGGAATGCGGAGCGGCGGGCACAGGCACCCACACTGGTGGCCGTCTCCCTCCCACCGGCTGCGCCCCCGGAGCCCCGTGTGAGCCCCACTGCGAGGTGCGCCCCTGGAAATCCCATCCTCCTGCGGGGTGCACCTGCGCGTCCTCCTGTCCTCTGCCCCCTGCAGCCGCCTCTATGGATGCTGCATCCCCCTGCGGACTTCACTGCGTCCCCCATTGGGGCTCCACTGGCACCCCGTGGGCTTGCATCCCGGGTGAGGTCCTCAGGATGGTGCGCAGGCAGCTGGGGCTTTGCTCCAAGCTTGGTGCTGCTGTAATGATTTCGTTGCTTCACTTTACCTTAAAAAAAAAAAAAAAAAAAAAAAAAGTTCCAAATCACGGAGGGGGAAAGATGAGGCCAGGGCTCGGAAGCTCTCCCACCCGCTGAGTGCCGCCGGCACCTGCAGCCTCACACTGTGTCTGGTATCCTCGTGGGGAGTTGGGGGGCCGGCTACGAACTGGTCCTTTCTCCAGAGCATCTGAGCCAGAGTCCCACCCGCACCAGAGTGGGGTGACAAGATGTGGCATTGATGGCAGCTCAGCACGTGGGTCGCAGTGAGGGAGCAATGTCCCCAAGCAAAGAACCTCCCGTGGGAGGGAGATGTCCCTGTATCCCCATGTCTCTGGCACATCTCGCCCTCAGCAGAATTTGCCAACGTGAAGGCAGAGAGGCAGCGGATGGGGAAAACAAACAAACAAATGGGGCAGCGTTCGCTTTCGGATTGTGAAAGCTCCAAGCCAAAGATAGGAGACTGCTGTTTTAAAAATATAATTCAAGCAACACTCAGCTCCATATGCCTGGGTGAAGCAGGCATTTATTTTTGTTTGATCCTTTCTACGCTGCTTATTTATGAAATAATGAAAGTAATCAAAACAACTCATTCCTTAAAAAAATACTGCTGCAGTTATGTAACAGCCAGGAAAGCTCCCAGTTCCAGTCCCGCTCTATGGGCCGGAGTGTTGGCAGATGGATTATTTTTAGAAAGACTCCAAACACTTGTTTACTACTTATGCTGCATCCTGTAAGCAAAAATGAGCATCCTCCCTTTGCCCAAGGTGAGGACGTGCTGCTGCAGTGGGGAAACTGAGGCACAGAGGGGCTTTGTGCACCATCATGCAGCGACTTAGAGGAGCCACAGCCACGGCACCAGCTTTCCCAAGCTCTGTCTGAATGCCAAACTTCACCTTCTGTCATTGCCAAGCCAGGTTTTCAGGTTTCTCCACGGCTCTGGCAGAGCAGCAAGGAGGGATGGGGACAGAGCAGGCGGCTGTGACGGATGGAAGCAAATGTCAGTGAAAATCAAGTGCCTCGCTGCAATCGATTGCACAAGGCAAGCAGGTTCCCAGACAGCAGATTTGGGGCCCCGGAATAAAAAGAATATTGTTAGCAGAGCTTCCTGGCAAGGCAACTGCACTGCCCAGAGCTTTCAGTCTGTAAAAGTGCAGTTGTCATCCCCAGTTACTGAGGATTTTGCTCCTCCAGGACCTGGGGGGAAGTCACCCACATGCCATGACCCACTGTTGAACCTCACAGAAAGAAGTAATGTAATGAAGATGGACGTTTCGGAGTCTGCCTTTCATGCCAGTGCTCCCAGCAGCTCTCACTGCAGTTAAAGAAGAACACTTGGTGCATGGATGCTCAATCCATTTGTACGGAATGAATAGGGGCAAGCTGTGGTTCTGAGGGCTGAGGAATTTTGGTTTTAACACCCCAAACCAAAGTGGATTTTCCTGTAAATCTTGAAGCAACAAACCCCAAGGGTGATTTCAAACAACTTGGATGCTCTATAAGAGCATCTGTTCCTAAGGGGCGGTAGGCACCAAGGCAGGACCTCGCCAGCAAACTTCAACCTCCAGACCGTGATGTGCTGGGCAAGGAAATGTGCTGTGGGAAGGGACTGTGCATAGCAACACCACAGTGTTGGCTCTGTCTTTCTCCTGTAATAGCCACAAGCAGCCGCAATCCTTCCCTCACTGGGGGCAATTAGTATACTCCAGCAATTAACGGGTTGATGGCAAAAGCTACCCCAGGTTCTGTTGGTGTGGTGGTGTCAGAAGGGCTCTTCCCAGCACGGTCTGGTGGCTCCAAACCCTATCTTCTGCAATGTCTTCATCAGTGAGTGACCAAGGCAGGTGCTGAGATTTCAAGCTGTTGTTCTCATCTGCCTCCAGGTCCTCTTCCAACCCTCAGCTTCATCACTACAGGTGGCTTTGCCATGCTATGGGCACAGGCACCCGCTCAACTCAAGCAGCCCAGCACCATGCTTTAGCTGTAGCAGCCTCTGCTTTGTTGGGCTGCAGGAAGAAGTGAAAGCCTCTCTGTCAGCTGCAGGTGTGCATATGAATGTGAGCCATTTGCCTAATAAATAGCTTCTTAAAGGGTGATTAATTAAAATCTCAACTGCATGACTTGGGGAGAGATTGAATAGGGCATGAAGGAGACACCATTGAAATGGTGGGAACAAAGACCACACGTGGCTGGAGGAGCACCAGGGCTTTAAGCCAGGTGCATGTGGGAACGCCACAGGTGGTGCGAGCCAGGGAGTGCTCATTTCTTTTTTTTTTTCCTCCCCTCTTGGAAAAGTACCTGTCTCTGCAATCAGCTTTTCCTCTTGCTATGATTAACCCGCAGCCACCCAAATTTTGGCTACTTGCTTGGGTCAGCAAGGTAACAGCGCTAGGAAATGCGCTGTATCATGAGCAGCTCTGTCAATGAGTATCTGTCTTTGCTAAGGAAGGAAAGAAGAATCTAAGGTTAATGATTGTACTTTCGGCCAACAGCTACTTTGCTGGCATTTTTAACAGCAGTGATTTTAACTGATGGCTGAAGCACAGCTGTAGTGGGCTGGCGTTTTCCTGCCTTTGCATGCTGGCTTGCTGCAAGAAGCAGAGGGAAATTTTCCGGTATTTCCAGTTTTGCTGTTCAGAGATGCCTCCAGGCTCTGTGCTCACGGCCTTGGTCCCCTTCCCTCTGCACATGGGGACAGCAATTGCTCCAGGTGCAGAAGCAAAAACAATGGCATGGAGTCACATCTGCCCATTCTCATTGCTCTTGGGAGCATCAGGATCTTAAGTCACACTCCCCACAGCTGACTTAAGCTTGCTCCCCTTCTCCTCAGAGAGAATTGTAGAATCATTGAGGTTGGAAAACCACTACTATCATATAGTCCAGCCATCACCCCATCCCCACCGTGCCTACACTGTGAATTCTGGGAAAAGTCTCCTTTTGTTGTTGCTGTTTTTCTTTGTTTGATTGTTTGTTTGATTGTTTGTTTGTTTGTTTTTGTTTTAACTGCTATTTTTATTTTCAAGTGGGATTTAGTGGCAGGCACTTGGTTCCAGACACAGTAACTTTAGGGAAACACCAAATATTGTAAATGCTGTAAAGCAATGGGCTGGAACTGGGGGCACAGAGGCATGAGATTTTTAAAGGAGCATTTTCAAATGGAAAGAAGGTTCTCTAACTAGAGGATCCTAGAGGTCTTTTCCAACCTTAATTCTGTGATTCTGTGACTCAATGACTTTCCCCCCTGATGAGTGGCACAACGCAGCCACTGTGATAAATGTTTATAAATGTCCAAAGGTAGGTGGGAGGCAAATGGATGAGGCCAGGCTCTTGTTGGTGATGCATAGCCATGGGACAAGGAGCAGTGGCCTGAAACTTGAACGCTGGAAGTTCCAGACAAACATGTGGAAGAACATCTTTACACTGAGGGTGACGGAGTGCTGGGACAGGCTGCCCAGAGAGGTTGTGGAGTCTCCTTCTATGGAGATATTCAAGACCCATCTGGATGCCTACCTGTGCAACCTATTGTAGGAAACTGCTTTAGCAGGATGTTGGACTCAGTGATCTCTCGAGGTCCCTTCCAACCCTTTCTGTGATTCTGTGTCATCCTGCGCTGCCATATTTTCATTAAAATCAAAGTCATAATGGCTTGTGAAGATTAAATACTCCAGTGGTATTTTTGTAACAGTAAAGTTGCTATAGTCATGGCTCTGGACAAATTAAGAAAAAAAAAAAAAAAAAAAAAAAACCAGAGGCCTGGTATTACCCTATGGCATCCCACCCCAATGATGGGCACAGCCTGGCACCCTGTAGTTGCTGGGAGATGCCACCCTGCAGTCCTGGTGGGAGAAAGGCAATCACCACTGCTAGCGGAGTCTGGAAGAGGTGAGCTGGGATAGCCGTCCCATCTCTGCGCAGAGCAGGAGAAAGCCAACGGGCACAGACCTCCGGCGGCGCTCCCCAGAACTGCACTGCA